TGTGTAGGCAAAGAAGTCTTACATTCATCAGGCAAAGAAGAAATTCGGTTCCCATCAAGTGTCATAACTTTGAGAGACTGAAGTTTCCCCAGATTTATTGGCAATCGCTGGATAAGATTTTCAGCTAAGACCTGAAAGAGAAGGAAATAATTTAAGAGGTATGAGTTTCTCCAATCTGGAGAAAGTTTCCTCTGAATATAGCAGGTGATGGAGACAACAATATGCAGTCCCAATGATAACTAGTACCTAAAACCTCAGGAAAATAGGTCAGAGAATAAATTTTCCACGATAGTCATGGCCACATAGCTCCAAGAAAGGTCTCAGCAACCGACCCTCAGACGAAAAAGTTTATACTAAAAAAATAATTTCAAAAAATGATAATTCCAACATCCCCTTACCCTTCTGCACCCAAGTTACTTCCAATCAAAGAGGCCACAGCCAGGCAGAGAAATAGTGCAATTTACTTGAAATCAAACAAACAAATCAACAGTAAACTCAAAAAGGACAAGACAAGAGTGATTGCTTAGTCACAACATTTTATTTATATCAAGCAATTCCAAAAAAAAGGCCACATAACTCAATATACAGAAGTAAAGTCTTGGTGCTTACCAGACGCTGCATGTTGATTAATTTGCTGATCTCCATAGGAATTTCAACTGAAGAGAAACAAAACTAAAGACATGAGATTCACACGCAACTATACAATTAGAGCGTTATCATACTCATTAAAAAATAAGAATAATTTACAAAAGAAAAACAGAACGGGAAAATCACCTAATTTATTGCGTGTTAAATCAAGGGTACGCACAGATCTCTCCAGCTCAAAAACTTCATCAGGAAATGTCTGGTCGGCAAAAATCAAAAACAAAACCAAGTTCGTTCATGTATACACAGCACACACACAAATATATAGACATATAGAGGAATATGAGCATTAAGAACGAGAAAAAATTACCTTCAATTTGGCGTCACGTAAAGCGACAATGCCAGTTGATCGCCAGCGAGCAGCCCTATTGGCCTTCGAGTCCGAGTTTTGGCTCTGGCAACACCCCATTTTCGCTAATATTCTCTTCTTTTTCTTCCTCCCACTAAGCGATTACACATAGAAGGGCATACTACTCGGACTGAGTTGAATCAAGGAGTAATGAGATATGGCGATCAGGATTCGAGGTGTTTGACAAAACGGGGCGCCTTCATTGGAGAATAGGGAGGGTCAACCTCACAGGCTTGGAAGAATCGTCCTCTCTCTCTCTCTCTCTCTCTCTCTCTCTGTATCTTTCTTATTTGAGATTGACTCTAAGCCAGAAAGCGCGTTGTACTTTGCTGTGTGTGAGTCGCGACACGCTAGTTGTTTCTGTTTTGTTCTGTCGTGTGGCGTGTTTGGCCAGTGTCGGATTCTTTAATACTGTAATTTTTTATTTTTCTTTTTATACTATTTTCAAATAAATAATTTTATTTTTATAAATAGAATAAATAATAAAACTGAAAATTCAGTTATTAACCCTACAGTTTGTTAATTTTTTATTTACAAAATATAATTTGATAGTTAATATTTTTACTTATTCCTAATAGATATGTGAAATCTGAGTTTTTTTTTTTTGGTAAATGACAAAATTAATTGAATTTCAAAAAAGTAGTACAACAATATCGAGATGCAAGCTCTTTCATACATAAAAACAATGATAGATACGAGTAGGTCTAACTATTTGGTGAATCATCGCGTTATTTTACCTTATAAACCAATTGATCGATACATCAGGTATACAATTCAACAAAAATTTACAATTTTTTGTATAAACTCGAATTTAGAATTATATTTCTCTCAGGCTGTTAAAGTAATTTTCACAATATTGACATCAACTTCCAAAATTTATGGCTTATGAACATTAGAGATTATGTACTACATGACATTACGGCAGTTGAGCAATTTTGCTAAGTAGGACAACCGACATCCATGAAGTCAACCTGAAAAAGCGACCAAGACATTGCTTGAGGATTTGTGGATGATTGCTCCATACCATAAAATCGAGGTTTTTTATATGATAAAACATTATAAATAAATTATGTAATTTTTATAAAAATCAATCCTTTTAAAATAAAATTGTAAAACATCTATTATCTATAATTTAAAAATAATATTTCGTAACCCCTCCAAATTTATGACCCAAACTCCATTGTCCTTGTAAAATCTCCATCCATTATTACTGTCATATTTATCATCTTCATATTTATCTATAAACTTCGAACTTTCTTTGTTAAACAATTTTACCGTATCAAATGTTCATTAAATTATCATCACTATTGTTTTATTTTTTATTACATGTTTCAATTGATCATCCTCTTCATTAGAGAACTATTTTGGTTTACAGGATAAACTACATAATTAAAATGAATTAGATGAATAAATAGGGTCATAAAATTTACTAACTTAATTTGATGCTAAGTAATACCATGTTGATAAAGGATTAGATATGTTATAATGTTTATATCAATCAATAATGAACATGAATTGAATTTTTAAATTTAGATAAAGTAAATAGCAAATCAAATACCCAAAAACAAGTTAGTTGAAATTCATTCGCAATATGTAGCTAAATACAATGTATAAATCAAATAGTACTAAAAAAAGAGATAATAAAAATTAATTTATAGAGTTTCAACAATTAATCTCATGTCTAATTTTTATTTTTTCAAGCAAATTGTGCATGACTTTCAGTATATTATCCATTTGTTTAAAAAAAAGTTAGTAGAAAATTGTTTAACTTATCATATAATATTCTATATTTATAGGAGTCTCTCTATATTTCTGCTTTATGAATATGATATTTTCTGGGCATTTCTAATAATATCAAGTGTTATTCTTATTTTGATTTTTTTAATTTTTGGAGTTTTGACTCCAATTAATAAAGGTTCAAAAAAAACTGTCTAGTTATAAATTAGGTATAGAACCAATTGGTGATGCTTAGCTACAATTTTGAATTCACTATTATATGCTTACTCTAGTTTTCTCGTTGTTTTTGATATTGAATCAGTTTTTTTTTTTTATCTATGGGCAATGAGTTTTGATGTATTGGGGGGGTATCCGTTTTTATAAAAACTTTAATTTTTGTGCTTATCCTAATTGTTGGTTCAATTATGCATAACGAAAAAGGAATATTACAATGATCTTAGTTTGTGAATATTCTGATAATAACAACAAAAATAAAAAAGTCAAAAGAATTTGTATCAGCCCCGGAAATTCATAATGGAATTTATATTATAAATATCAAATGCGGAAGCGAGATCAAAATTTGAATAACATCCCTTACACTGAAACCGAAACGTGCTCACAAAATATAAAAGATTAAACTACCTAAAGGAGAAACTTGAAAGTAAAAACTACGAATGTGACTATGGAGTCTTTAGGCGTCCCCTTCGTCGTCCTCCTGCAGAACCGGCTCGGGAACGATGTCCTCTTGATCTGAAATGATTAAATAAGGAATGAGCTACACTAGCCCAGTAAGGACATCACGATATCTCACCGTCACGGAGGTAAAGGTGGGTAGAAAACACAAAAGACCAATGGAGCATGATTGACGACAAATCCTTTTATTGATAAATAAACCTTTACCATCCACTTACCTCGGTGGAATTTATAAAACAATATACGAAAACAATAACATTATCATAATCATGGAATCATATAAACTGTAAAACATAACACTTATCACGCCTTTTGTAATTCAATCATTATACAACATATCTTTTCCTTATTTACCAGCCCACTAGTATCCATGGGGATCCATAGGGGTCCTGCTACCCGTTAATCCTTAACACTTGAAATCCATTCCAGGGTCGTCCCCATACCCCGTCCGGTATGGGCGCCAAACCATAGACCTCATTACCCCGTCCGGTATGAGGGTGAAACGGGTCGTCCCCATACCCCGTCTGGTATGGGCGCCAAATATATAAACCTCAATACCCCGTCCGGTATGAGGGTGAAACGGGCCGTCCCCATACCCCGTCCGGTATGGGCGCCAAAACACACAAGATCTCCATACCCCGTCCGGTATGGGAGACCACAATCCCGGTAGGGTTCTCTACGGACCCGGTCCGTCCACCATCTCTCAGGATATCTAGTCGGGCTGAACACATTATACAATTTCCATTCACATAATCTTTCATTCTCTTTTTCCTCAGTTAGCATTATCAATCACATACAAATAAGCAAAACGATAATTTATGCCAAACAGACAACATACAGCATCAATATCCCGGTCATTCAATCCATAATCAATAAAACAGTAAAATATGCACACGAAACTATAAAATGAAACATCGAACCTCATGCTGCATTTAAAACTGTAAAATAGGCCCAATAACAGTTAACCGACAAACACACTAGACTCGGGCTCCATTAGCGACCTTAAGCAATTTCACACATTCGTTGATTCATGAAATACCGTTTTATCATTTATTGAACTTTAAAACCGTGATAGGAAATAGGGTGAGGGGTCCTTACTCGTTTCGGGGTCCGAACACGGCTTCACAGTGCACTTGCAGGCTGTCCCTAATTTTCCCTGAATTTTCCTCGGGGAACTGAAACGCACTACTGGTACCTGCACGTGTTCCAAAAAATCCCAAATTAGGCCCAGGGCCCCTTTCGGCCCAAATCGCAACTCCGGCACGGCGGCTCCGCCGTGCTCCAGCGACAGCGCCGCCGCTGGCGGCGGCGATTCGCCTCGGGTTGGCTGTTTTCGGTCGTTTTCGGCCGAATTCGGCCACACTCGCATCGGTCCCTGCGAGAAAACAACCCTAGGGCCCTCGGGGGGCCAAAAAATCACGGAAAAACGGAGCTTACCGGCAGCGGCGCTCTCGGGTGCGGCGGTTCTCCGGCGAGGTTCGTGTTTTGGTGATTCGGCTCCGGTCAACCTGTAGAGAAAAGAGTGGTGATCACGATGATATAAAAATTGCATCAAACGGAGGCCGGGAAGGGCCTCATCAGAGGCAAAAACCGAGAAGGGCGCGGCGGCGCCGCTGGGCTTCGGCCGTGCATTCCGGCCGTTTGGCCGGGATTTTGGTTCCGTTTTGGCCACAGGAGGAATCAGCATGGAAAAACGAGTCGGGGGTACGAAATTTACCTCGATCGGCGGTCGGAAGTTCCTCCGGTGCGGCGGCGGGTGGCGGCGGCCGGCTTCTGGTTCGTCTTCTCCGGCGAGCGGCAGACGGCTAGGGTTTGTGGTCTGGTGTGGGGGTTCTATTTATAACCCATTGCCTTTTGATCTCAGCCGTCCATTTTGTTTTAATCTGGGCCGTCCGTGCGTTTAAATCTGGGCCATCCGATCGCACGCTTGATCTGGGCCGTCCGATCGCGCCCACGCGGATATCCAACGTGGCCCTTTTTGGAACGACGTGGTTTCGCCATGTGGCAGGTCCCAGTTGGCCAGGACTGCTGACCGGGCCTGCTGACGTGGCTGCCGACGTGGCTTTTTTTTTTTTCTCGGTCCGGGCGCTACAAAATTAGTATTTGTTCTCACTAAAAATAGTACAAATTGTAATACCCGGAATTAGTGGATGATGAAATTGAAAACAATTTTGAGAAAAAAAAAAAATTTGAAAATTTAGGTTATGGGGGTGTTTTTGAAAGAAAAATCGAAAACTGGAAGTCAAAAGATAATTTAGAAAAAATATTCCATGTAAGACCGCACAGTCAGCAGTCCCGACGAACCGGAACGCGCCACATAGCAAGGCACGCTGACGCGATACCACGCAGGAGGCCACACTAACAATCCGCGTGCCCACGATCGGACGGTCCGGATTTGTTCCAGCGCGAGTGGACGGTCCGGATCCATTCCCTCCTCAGACGCGATCGGACAGTCGCGATTAAACACGATGAACGGTTCAGATTCGTTCCCTCTTTAAGTGCATTCGTACAATCCATATCAAATCATGATGAACGGTCCAGATTTATTTTCTATTTAAACACGATCAGACGGTCGAGATCAAACACGATGGATGATCCAAATTAAAGGAAGACGGATATAAATACATTACTTCACACCAAACCTTAACCCTAGTCGCTAGCTCCCCGCTGGAGAAGAAGAACTAGTCGCCAGAAAAGGGAGCCGACCGCCATCCCCCGCCGTGCTGGAGTCACCTCCGACCACCAAAAAAGGTAAAAAAAAAATTTTAATTCGCTTGAAATTTGATTTTGAACACCCTCATGGCCAAATCGAAGCAAAAGGGCCTGTGGATGAGGTAAAAACCGTGGGTAAAGCCCAGTGACGCCGCCGCAAGAAAAATAAAAAATCGCCTCCAATGATACCCTTCCCGATTTCTATTTCGTGCAATTTTTTTACCATTGTATTCACCATTCT